TTATTTCTTTGTATGCTTCTTTGTATGTCTCTTTGTAAGATTAGTATTACTCTTTTGTTTTTTAACATTTGTTACAACCATTTAATGATTGTCTAAAAAAATGATAACAGGTTAGATCTGAGAACTACTATTAAAAAGTGTTTTTCGTTTATGAAATTAATGATAACAAAAAAAAGTATAAAAAACATGTTTGGTTGCAGTGTTCTGAAACCTCGCCCAACCCGGCTAGTCAAACCGAGACTCAACACTTTCTTCGGGCTGAGTTACCCTTATCTATTGTCTCAAAATCCCTAATCTGATTGTTGGCCATTTCTGGCCACTTTTCGACGCCCCTGCCTCCTCCCACTCACCTCACCTGACATTTGCACACCCCTTGGTGTCAATAACGACCGGAATCTAGGTGGGGCAAAACGTTGAGCACTTGGTGTGTGCTAACAAAGGAGAAGCAAATGATCATCACTAACAAGGGAAACAACCTAGAAAACAAACCCAAATAAGCACCAAACAATGAAAGACCAAATCAATTTAAAAAATTATCAAATCAAAACCAATTAGGCTGGAAAAATCAACCCAATCGTGACAGTATATGTGAGTTATGGTTGGCGAATGATGGACTATCAAATGTCGAGGTTAGAGAAGTTTTGTAGAGTGAAGGCTGGTGGTTCAAGTGATGGATTCTAATTGAATTTTGGATGCCAAATCAGTCAAAATTTGGCCTAGAAAAGTGAAACCATGACTGTGAAGTCAGATCATAGGGGTGTTTTTGCTATGTTTCAAACCTATAGGGACTGATGGTATTTATTAGGGGTGTGTTTGCTAGATTTCAAAATATGCATTGCAATATTTTCTAAACAGAAAAGTGTTTTTAACTTTTTTCTTTAAAAAAAAAAAATGTTCTTTAAAAATATTCTTATTTAGTTTATTTCATTTCAATTAGCTTTCTGAATTATAACTCTAACTGATAATGTGTTAAATTTCAAGTGGACAATAAAAAATTGACATATAAATAAAATAAAAAATTTGTCTGGTTAATTCAAGAAATATACAAAAATCATTTAATGACTTCAATCAAGAGCCATGAAATCTAACAAATACAAGTATCAAAATCTATCTTTCTTTTGCCTTCGTTTTTTTTATTTGAATGGACATCCTAAATAGACCAGAGAGATAATCACCAATAAACTAAATATTTTATTTTGTCTAATAATTATAACAATAATATTGAAATTAAGGTTTAAAATTAAACCCACCTTGATAATGTTACATAATTTTAACCACTTAATTGGATCCATATCTTTTAGAATAATTTAGAAAGTGTCCCACATTAGATCTTTTGAGTTTAATAATAGATTGGATTGAGGTATTACAAAGTTCAATAAATTTAGAACTATACTTATATGCTAAATACCGATCAATTTATAATGACCATAAAATGTGATGAGATATCGTGATTAGGTTTTTACATTAGTTTTTAACAGTATTTATGAGTTGTTCATCTTTGTCAATTCAATAATATTAAAGAAATTTAAACTTTAAGCCATGGTATCTTGACCTATCAAAAATAAAGTGGAAATAAGGAAATGAAGTTGCCCATTTTGAAATCACTTTTTCTTAAAGTACTTTTTCCCCAAACAAGTCCAAACTTTTGGAAGCTACAATACAATTAACAACACACAACGTGCCCACAAAGTCCATATTTTATGGGCCTAAGCCCAACCAGGCCCAGAAAATAGTGCTAAATCTCCAAGAAAAACTGCTGGTTCTCTCTCATTTTATTTGTGGAAATTGGTTGATTTTGCATATTTTCTTCAGGGAAAAAAAAAAATTATTGGTATACATTTTGGTTAAAACTAGTTTAGATATATTCACTTTAAAATTTCTTCATACACTTCCAATTATTGTTAGTTTTACTTATAGGAAAAAATGTTTATTACAAGTTTTGATTTACGATGTCACTATCAGAAATGTTTAAAGGTATCAATTTTTTTAGATAAATTATTACACAAANATCTCCAAGAAAAACTGCTGGTTCTCTCTCACTTTATTTGTGGAAATTGATTGATTTTGCATATTTTCTTCAGGGAGAAAAAAAATTATTGATATATTTTGGTTAAAACTAGTTTAGATCTATTCACTTTAAAATTTCTTCATACTTATAGGAAAAGATGTTTATTACCAGTTTTGATTTACGACGTCACTCTCGGAAATGTTTAAAGGTATCACTTCTTTTAGATAAATTATTACACAAATTTCAGAGCCATTAGGTTAAAATTAATGCAACTTATATAATCAATATTTATTGGGAATGACATAATTTGAGATACAATCTCAATGTTCAAATATATTAATCATGTTAAAAAAAATAGTAAACTTGTGTAAAAAAAGTGGAGCTTTTTAACTTGACCCCTTAAAATTTTATTAATTTTTTTTTTTTTAAATCTCTTTTAATAACACCGTGTTACATCAGTTTGTATGAATTATTTTACACATATTATATTTAAATGATCAGATTCATGAGAGAATCAATCACAAATCTATTTAGTTGATCTCTTTTTTCATGATTCTAAATAACTTTAGGCTCATCCAATGAATTATGTAAAAGTAAGAAACACTTATTTAATGAAACAGCAACGACATCGATTTCTATGGCCCATAATATCATTTTAACAAAAAAGAATATGGAAAAGTGTATAAGCAATATGTTTTGTCTAATCACTGATTTTATATTATCCAATTAAACTCTTACAACATTAATTGGACACTATGCTATTTATGTCTCACATGAAGCACATGTGCTTTTGTTAATGATACAATTTCCATGCCAAATGGCCCAATAAATCTTACATTTTAAACTTTTAATACTATTGAATTTATGGGCTTTTTTTTTTTTTTCGTTATTATTGAAGTTATTATCTATATACAAATGAATTTGTAACATAGATAATTACATATTCCAATGTATATTATAAGAGAAAAAAAGGATAATACAATTGAGATTCCGCAATATGCATCCTATGCATATTGTAAAAGATAACTGTTTTGTGTCAACGACTTACATATTATCAAATCCATTATTTGACAACGTTCACACCATACAGTTGTACAATGGTATGAAGCATGATGAACATGTAACACGCTCAAACTTTGAAATATAACAACGTATTAATGATAGAATAGTAAAACAACGGACTTTAACATTAATTTATGAACTTATAACACTCTCCATCTATTTATCATTCTAATAAATAAAATGACTTATTATCTATACAAAGTGTAACGTTTTATATTATAAATTGAACGTTGACGAATAAATTAATCCTCGGAAAACATATGGCACAATAAAAGGTTTTCATATTAAGTCACGAAAGCATGAATGTCACAATAGACTTTTACGTGGTAGCTAATGCTCAAATTTTTGCTCTAATTGGCCCACATTCAGCAACTAAGCAAGAGTCGGCAAATCAAATTTCAGCCGCCAGGTTAGTGGGGTTAATTAGTCAGCTCCCTCTATGAGAAACTTCAAATGTGTAAATATGATAACAAAATCTCTTAATCATCTACCAAGATTTGCTGCTGAGATATCAAACTAACTTAGTGGATGCACCCTCAGCTTCCAATTCTAGTGGTTCTTCTTATATATGTATTCTCTTTTAATTAGAAGAAACACTATATGTTTCTTGTTTTATTTGTGATATGGGTTCTTTCGTTTTAATCCAAGGATTGTTCTTTTTTGTGGGATTTTTATATAGTTCTCTTTTTGTAATCTATTTGCTGTCATTTTTCAGACTTTGTGAAAGAAAAGAAGGTTTTGATGGCTGATTCATAAGGGTCTAACCTAGTATTAGTATTTAAGTTTAACAAAACCTTTCATGTGCAATGTTGCACAGAACTAGAGAGATGGGTCAAGCATAAACACCAAGAGAGATAGACGAAAATCATATGATCAGAGAGATGGGTCAAGCCTAAAAACCAAGAGATAACCATATACATGTGTGTATTTGTGGTATTTGAGCTTAAGACTTGGAACCTTTAAAACTATTTTAAGAAGTTATTTAACATAAAAGTTTAGACTGATAGGCCAGTGAGGAACCGAGATCCAACCATAATATTTAATTCAATAGTTACAATATTAACTTGATAACGTTGTTTTATCACTGTAACTATAAATAATTAAATAGATGAGTGCACAATAATATTGAAATAGTTAGTTAACAACTTAACATTCTACGTCAATAACTCAATTAATTAACAAATAATTTCCATATTGTCAACTGTCCCTTTACACATTCTCCGTATAATAATACAATATAATAGTATATATATGGTAATGCAATGCTACTTATAATGCATCAATTGGTTGGTCCAAAATGAGCCGTTTTTGTTCAATCTCCTGATTTTTTTAACCATTAAACAGAACTTTATTTCCTGTTTGGCACAGCCCATTGGCCCCTCCCAGAAGAAATGGTTGCTTTTCAATTAAGTAATTAATTTAATTTGTCTTCTCAGTCTCCCCATGGCTGTCACTATTGAGTCTCCTCCTTTTGTCCACTCAATACTTTCCCATTCACAGATTCTGCATTTTTCTCATATTCCATACTCAAAACATAATATTAAAACACAAAATTTCAGAATATAATTATCAAATTGAGAATTGTAATTTCCATATCTAATTTAATTTTCACAATTACAAGAGGGGTTTAGATCTAATTGCAACAAGTTACTAATCAAACTATACAATTTACAGCTAAAACTACAAATTCTTTGGAATTCTTGTGAGAGCACATAATTAATTAACCAAAATATACTTCTAGCTAATCCCTCTATAACTTCGTATCAAACCTTCAGGTTCTAGTGGCGGTATGCTCACAATTGTTTCCTGAACAGGCTGAGCTTCAGGTTCTGATGAGCTTGCCTGATTGCACCCAACAATTTTCTGGCAAGTTTCGAGCAGGCAGTGTCGGCAAGTCGGGCAAGAAGAGTGCGAGCTGAGCCACTTGTCAATGCACCGGACATGGAATCCGTGGTTGCATTTCGGGAGGAGGCGGATGCGGTCACCGGAGGCGAATTCGGATAGGCAGATCACACACTCGGTGTCCAGTCCTGGAAGCTTCAAATCCGGTGAAAAGTTCACGATTGTGAAGGTTTTGAGGGCCTTTTGTTTCACTCCTGTGTTGGCTAGTCTCGCTGAGGAGTTGGCGCTGGATCTCGAGGCGACTAGCGTTGAGCACCTGAGGGCGCATCTGATGATGGAGTTCAATCCTAGGGAGCAAATCAGGGCGCAGAGCAGGACTGAGAGGACCATAACGACATTGGCGTCGAAGCTGTTGTCACCGGTGTAAGGTTCCGAGGGATCATGGGTGGTTGCGGGAGCTGGAGGAGGAGCAGCCGGATTGGGGGATTGGGGGGCGTGGAGGAGCAATCTTCTGGAGTAAAAGTCACCGAGAAAATCCCGGAAAAGTTGAGTAGAAGTCCTGGAAGAAGTGGAAGTAAACATAGTTGAGTTGAGAGAGCTGAATTACAATGTCGTTGGAACTTATTGGGGGTGGTTGTGAAATGGGATTTATATATAGAGGGGAAAGTGATGTAAAGAATTGGGTTAACTTTTTGAGGATTATTAAAATATTAAGGATTGTAATTATTTAATTGTTTATTGTAGTAGAGAATATTCTAAGGTGGTTTTGGAGAGTAATAAAATTGATCAAATTTTTGTCTTTTACCAATTACTTATATGAAAAGATTTTCTTTTAATAACGCAGAAATCCTAAGATAATTTAGAAATCCTAAGGTGGTTCGAAGACCACTTTGCGAACTAAGATAATTTAGAAATCCTATTCTCTCAAAAACTTGCTTTAAAAAATCAAATTCAAAATTGAAATCCCTAACCTTACAATCTTTTAAAACCCTAGTCTATCTAGAAACCAGAATTCAAAACTGAAGCTCGTCGAACTCCACCATCAATTTGAACCTTATTCAATGCAAAACCCCGTATTCAAAACTAAAGCCTGGTCGAACTTTTTAATATTTAGAACACTATTATTGAGTTCAAAATTGAAGTCCTTTTGAACTTTACGATCATTATCTAAAAACCTTAGTTTAAAACTGAGGCTTTAGTGAATCTTACAATCTTTTCTAACCCAATTATGTCCAAAAATCCTCTCTCTAACCTAGTTCAAAATTGGAATTCCAATTATTTATGTAAAGGGTTGCTAATTTATATTTTGAAAAAAATACGACAGAGAGTGGCATTGGCACATGAAAAGCACTATTATTATCATGATATACATCTTTAATATATATGTTTAAATATTTATGGGATGCTGAAAGGGCATGGATCCTCCACTGAGCTTTATGTAGTTTAATGGACTTTCCAATCAAAATGGGACCATCCCACTCCCACCTAGTGTTGCAATTGCGAAGAAGGGTGAGTTGCCTTTCATTTCATTTCATGTATCTCCAAAATCAAAATGCTTTAGGGGACCCAGAAGCTGAATTTGGGAAGGAGGCATGAAGCTTCCTATAAATGTTTGAGGATCTGGATGATATGTTTCTCAGTTGGATTCAATTTGGCTTTTTTTGTACGATTGTTAATAGATTACTTCACTTACTCTTTTTGTAGTCTTCTTTTTTAATATTCGCACATCTTGAGTCAGACTCAATTAAACTTAAGAATAAAAGAAATTTATCCTCATTTACCTTACAATATATATATAATTAGGCAAGTAATAAGTCATTAAAGTCACTAATCTCTTCTTTAATTCTCTTTCTTTGCGTGTAATGGTTACTATTATTGCTAAAATATGCTAAATAGTCAAAGAATGATTTCTTGTTTGGAATTATCTAGTAAAGAAAGTTGAAAAATATTCTTTCCGTATCATAACTCATAAGTCATAAAGTAGTAAGGATTAATCCCACGTTGGAAAGAGATTAAAGTTTTGAATGATTTATCTACAAGGTTCTTTCAATAATTGAGGTAACAAGAAAAATAAATATAATAGTTTATCACGGGCCAAATAAGCTAAAGACTTGTTCCAGGATCATGGTATTCTAAAGTTCTTTTGATAAAGATATCAAAAAAAAGATGTAATATACATTATAAGTGAGAAATTCAAACTAGTTAATATCAAATTAGTATTAGAGTGTGTTTGGTTGAATTTATAATAACTATTTTTTTTTTTAAATATAAAAAGCTCTTTTAAAAAAATTATATTGTTCGGTTTCTAGTAGAGAAGAACTTATAGTTGATTAAACATTTTTACGTCTATTAAAAGAACCTTAAAAAAAAGCTCTTCTTATGGTTATTTTAAAAATATTTTTCCTTATATACTAAACCTTTTTGGTAAATTATGATTGAAAAAATGTTTTTATATTTTTTTAATCAAACATGTAACTGATTTCACGTAAAACTGTTTTCATAAGATAATTATAACAGACTCTACTTTCCAAAGTTGTATTTGAAAAAACCGTACCAACTGATTCTTCAAATCAAATTTAAATTAATTAAATGCTGTAAAAGACTATCGCAATTTGCTTTGCTCTGTCAATCAAAAGGAGAGCACGAGAGTAGAAGAGTTCTTTAAGCAATTTGCTAATATAATTATGAAATAAACACACGGTTTCCCATCTGCAAGCCACAATCCTTCCTGTAAACATCTATGAACTTTTCTTAATCTGTCAATTTTTATAAATTTCTAGTGTTGTTTATTGCAACAGGGTTCACTTTCTTATCCAGATCTTGTAATCTGTCACTTTCCTATCTGTCGGCCGCAACTCTTTTTGATTTTTTCACCCCACCTGGATTAAATTTTTTGATTCCAATCTTCTGTTTAGTACATTTTCCAAACTGAATCTTTTTTGCCATGCGAGATCGAAGCTGATTGCAACATCTATCTTAATTCTAATAAGCAATCATTAGCTTCTCCTTGCGGGTGTACATTAAAGCAAAACAGGTATTGGCCATTCATAAAATTGTTAAAATCGTCATAAATGTATCATGTAAGGCTCCAATTATGACATCTTGATATTAATTTTGTTAATATCATGTCTAAACACTATTTGAATAAGTTATAAAATATCATTTCAGCGTAGATGTCTTGAAATTTTTGATGTGCAGACTGATTGTGAGTGTTCCGTCATTAACTTTACAAACTCTAAAATCGAAAGCCAATATTGGAACCTTATCTTTGGTATGCATATTAAAAATTTCAAACATCGTCTCCAAGATATTTTATTGCATTTTTGTTATCTATATATATATATATATATTATTATATTTTTATAATATCTATATATATATATATATATATATATATATATATATATATATATATATATCATATATGTGTGTGTGTGTGTGTATGTGTGTACACGCATGTTATTGATAAGATATATATTAATTGTTACTTTAAAAATCGTCTATTATATTAAAAACTAATAATTAGTAGATAAGGTGCGTGTATGTTTATTTGATAGATATATATAATTGTTACTTTAAAACGTCCATTTATATTAAAACTAATAATTAGTAGATAAGGGTGCGAAAAATTGTGTTATAATTAATATAAGTTTCATTAGATGAGAATAAGTGTCCCTAGTTACCGTCTTGTCTGGCAAAGTCGGAAGTTATATCAAACTATGTGCACAAAGTTAATGGTTTACGGAAAAAAGTCGTGTTTGTGCTAGGTGTCTAATCTATATATATAGATAATTAATGTAGCACTGTTTTTTTTTTTTCAAAGAAACTGTTTCTTAGTACAAGAAATAAATAATATTATAGATTATATGGACCAAAAGTTGAGGCAACAAGTGCGGTGTGTTGCTTAACTTTAATTTCCCTTTAGTACTTATTGCAATACTGAGAGAGAGATAGGCTAATCGTGAAGGATTTGCTTTTCTTTAATTGTTTGTACTATAAATATAACTAACACTATTTTCATTCATATCTTCTTTCGGCTGGATTTCACTAGGGTTTGGCTTTGGCCCCCCATGTGGGTCTAAATTTTTTATATTTTTGAATTAGTTGCCTCTAAGGTCGACACATGTTGAACGTCAATAAATAAACTATGAGAATGTTTTGATTTTCGTAAACTCAAACTTCTATTTCTGATGAGACAATAAAACATTAAAAGACAAAATTTCGAATAAGTATACTGTTAATTAAGAGCAATTTGGGACAATAATGTTCTTAGTTGGGTTATGATTGATGTAAGAAAGAGATTTTTGAAAGATTCTTAAAGTGGTTGTGCTTAGTTACCATCTTACATGAATTTGGTATTAATGTGGTTGTGCTTAATTACCATCTTACATGAATTTGGTATTAATGTGGTTGTGCTTAATTACCATCTTATACGAATTTGGTTTAATTGTGATATCGCTTTCAAGAAAATGTCAAGGAAAAATAAAAGTGGGAAGCACTATTAAGAAGCAATGATCTATTAGAGGCAAACTTGTTCAGTATGGTATTGAATGAAATTCATGAAAATATGTTATCGCGCACATTAATTTATTCAAGTTTATTTTTAATTTTTATTGTATTTGATATTGGTGTTATTTCATAACTTTTTTAATTTGGATATAGTATTGTAATTTATTAATTACTTAATATAACCAATTAGAAGCCAATTTTATGTGTATAACAAATTAGAACAATAAAACAAATGGGCAAGTATATATTTTTGTTCCTCACTTTCCTATCAAACTTGCGTATAATTAATTAAGAAGAAAATAAAGTGGCAATTAGTTATGCAAATTGAAGAGGATAACAAAGGTTGGAGATGAGAAATATTATATTTAAAGTGGCAAAGGTGACAATGGGGATATAATTAATAAAGTTAATGAAGACTAATTAAAGACAAAAGAGTGTATAAATTAAGGCCAAAACGAAGTTTAACTACATCATCCAAAAGTTAATTTTGAGGATTTTGGCACCCAATTTTCCTTTTTATATTTTAATTAATGACTCGAAATTAGTATTTTTTTTTTCTTCTAAAAGTAAGACTCATTACATTATCTATTTATCTTTCTAGGTATATCTTGATTTCTTTTTTTTTTTAATAATTTTTATCGCACTGTCGAGATTTATTTCACTACAAAAATGCGAACAAATTGATCTCAAAGTTGGTGTAAATTAAAGACCGATGAAGTTTCCAATAAGCAGGGCAAAAAGTCATCCATGGCCGGACTTAAAAGGAGAAGAAGACAATAAATAGTTGGTAATCTATGCCCCTTTTAGGGCTGCTGCTGCATATTAATATTTTTAGATTATTATTATTGGAATGCACTTTTGAATAGTTTAAGAAATTTGGCTAGTTTGCACTTGTATCAATAAACTAAGAGAAAAAAAAAAAAAAAAAGAA